ATACACAACAACAAGGGTTTGATGGAGTCCTGAGAGGAGAATGGGAGAAAATGGAAGAGATACTGAGAGAAGATAATAGATATAAGCGACAGATAGGAGAATGAGTAAATATGAGAGAGAGAGAGAGAGAGAGAGGAAGGTATGTGGGGTACAGGGGTCAACCTTGGCCAGACTTTCAGTAGCGTAGTGCCGTAAAGGTCCACTCCACTACCCCTTGTGTTTTTGCATTGTCATTCCGTCCCGTGGCCATCACTAGACCCCGAAGTTGTATGAGTTTATTGTACACACACGGGATCATGCACAAGCCCCCTCCCCCACCGCTGGCTGTGTACTGACTGGTCTTTGTTTTCTGATACGATTATATAGTTTCCACGGAGACGGTAACCTTGATTTAACGTTGCCAGATGTATATGGTCAATGAGGAGTCGTCAGGTGAAATTAATTAATGTTTCTTTTTGTAACACGAATTATCACTTTGCTTTCGACGGATAGGACGGACGGACGGACGGACGGATAGACAGAGAGAAGAAAGGAAGAACGGGAAGCAGCAGCAACTCCTCTAGTGTCAACAGAACCAACGATGGATAGAAATTCACCTCCGATTATTTTTTCACTGAGTTACAATAGTATCTAGGTGATTTGACGCCATTTTGACCGTCTATATGTATGAGACAGGGTAAATAAGGCAACCATCCTCACATCTCCACTACCACCACAACTACCAGGTATCGGTAGTATCAGGTATGAGTGGTAGTAGGTACCCAGAGAGACTTACCATCTACTCTGTACTTTCAACGTCTTTACGGACACACACACATACACACACACACACACACACACACACATACTGTACAGTGTGTGTGTGTGTGTGTGTGTCAGTCATGCAGGAGAGAGAGAGTCATCAACAGGTAGTGTAGGGTGCCCGCGTGAGACGGTGATGATGATGGCCGACACAACCTGTCATTACCTGGCCACTTAACTAATCGCCACATTAAGGTAAATTCTGGGAACATCAAGACTTAACACAGGTAAGATCAGTCTCCTAGGTTTACCCAGCTGCTGAGGTCGATGTTTTGAAGTCATCGTTATCATCATCATTATTAACATCATCATTATTGAAATCATCATCATTATTAACGTCATCATCATCATTATTAAAGTCGTCACCATTATTAACGTCATTATTATTATTGAAGTCATAATCATTATTAAAGTCGTCACCATTATCAAAGAAATCATCACTATTAAAGTCATAATTATTATTAAAGTCGTCACCATTAGTAAATTCATCACCATTATTAAATTCGTCATCATCATTATTAAAGTCATCATCATTATAATTGTCATCATCATCATTACCCAGTCAGGTTAATTCCATGTGAGGCGAGTGTTGCCTTATGGGGGATTTAACGGCGGCCGTATGAGGAAGCCACTGAATGGGGGCAATCACCTTATGGGAGCTTAACTCATTAGATCTCAAGGACTCACAAGGACTCATAAGGTCTCACAAGGACTCATAAGGTCTCACAAGGACTCATAAGGTCTCGCAAGGTCTCACAAGGACTCATAAGGTCTCACAAGGACTCATAAGGTCTCACAACGACTCATAAGGTCTCACAAGGACTCATAAGGTCTCACAAGGACTCATAAGGACTAATAAGGATTCATACTCTCTCAAGGACTCACAAGGACTCATAAGGTCTCACAAGGACTCATAAGGTCTCACAAGGACTCATAAGGTCTCGCAAGGTCTCACAAGGACTCATAAGGTCTCACAAGGACTCATAAGGTCTCACAACGACTCATAAGGTCTCACAAGGACTCATAAGGTCTCACAAGGACTCATAAGGACTAATAAGGATTCATAAGGTCTCACAAGGACTCACAAGTACCTGCCTTACTTTACCAATAAACACTGACGTGCCTCTTCCTCCTCCAACTACAGATAAATTTAATACCGCTACAAAAGTACGTGAAAGAATAAAATCCATGTATACGTTACAAAAGTTAGATATTAAGATACAGAAACTGGAAATAATTAGTAATGTTCGCAATAAAAACAATATTTTACGTTTGTTTACATCCACAGGTACCAAAACACAGTGGATCTCATTTTCTTTGATACGTGACCAAATCTTCAGTTGGATCCGGGCACGACATAAAACATGCATATGGCTGACATTTATTTTATCATGTTACTAGATGGTAAATAGAGAATGTTATTTATGTAATAATAGTAACCTTCCAGGTACCAAATTACACCTAACCTAATCAACCTGCAAGGAACAACACGTGTATAAAAGTTGTGAAGGGAGGCGGAGGTAGGAGACGGTTAACAATGATGAGAAATAAACTCCTTTGTAATGTTCAGAATCACTGTCGTTTATTCCGCACGACAAAGTGCTATTAATGAGAAGTGTTTGAAAGCTTCCGCTAGAGGTGTAACACATCTCTCTCTACGCATCTATGGACAGGACTGAGTTTCGACGCCGTGTTTGAGTCGTCTTTGGACATTTTACCAAGAGACACTCACAATGTTTGGACACCCCAGTAACCCAAGCTAGGATGTCGAGCGAGAGTTGCTCCACACAGACACAAAGCCACAAATGGAAGGAACAGCAGGACTACTAGAGGTCGGCAGAGTGAATATTCAGTTGATTTTAAGGAATGATAAGCTCATTCTCTCTTGTCGTCACTGTACGGATGTTGCTTCATATCAGGTGTGTGTTGGGAACTCCATGCAAGTCAGAAAAAAAAGAGTTCTAGTGTGTTATGATCCTCATTATACCGAGTGTTTGTGTACCGCGTCAGTGTACCGTGTATACTGTAGGCAGAAGCTATTGTGTGTATCATGTCGTGTACCTTGTCATTGTACCGTGTCAGTACCAGCCCACCTGGGTAATGGTTGAGGGGGTGGAGTCCTCCACCACTTGTCTCTTCTTGTAGCGTCACAAAAACCCTGGCCCACCACCCACGGAGTCTTAACACCGTCGAAGGCCTCTACGTGGCCTCCTCAGGGCCCTCCCCCGACGTGTGGCCCTTAAAGTTCTCGTAAAAAGGGAGGATTTAGTGTAGATAAGGTGACATCAATACCTTAAGGGTGACGTCAAGTCTCTCTACCTCTGGAACACGAAGCAACTGTATATAACCATATCAAATAACCTGAAATAACCACAAGTTTAAACTCAAGCCGTTTCGAGGATCACCCGGTAAACTCACCTACAAATAATAAGACAAATACAATAAGTTATATATAAAATGCAGTTATTATTTAGTTATCTAATAATGCATAAATCAATAATACAACCTGGAAAAAAGAGACGAACATGATGCGCTATTATGAACTAAAAAAACAAAAATATAACTAAAAAAATCAACAAAAACAACATTTCTTTTCATGTCCCAATAATGTCCACCAGAGAGAAATCTTCAATGTAGAGCTAGGCTAGGATAGGTTTGGTTAGGTTAGGTTTGGCTAGGCTAGGTTAGGTTAGGTTAGGTTGACAATACTTCATTAGTTTCCGCCGTCACTTGAGAGGGGTCAGTTCTAGGACTCGTAGAACAGACAAATGAGTGAAGCTGTAGCGTGGTTCCTGGGGTCCACAACAACACTAGGTTAGGTGATTCTTAATTTTCCAGTTTGTGAGTATTTATTGCTGATTATTACACCTTATATGATAATTAGTTTTCTGTTTACCGTCAGGTGATACGTAGCTACCTGGTGACGCTACCTGCTGTGTTGTATAGCTCTCTGTCCCTCACGAGAACTACTCAATGTACAAAGTAAACAACGACTTAATTTTTTTCCCAGTATGAGAGAGAGAGACAGTGAGTGGAAGTAAGCGTCTATACTGGGAGGAGAAAAATCCGGTTGGTCTCGACTCAAGATGGCCAGTGGTCGAAAAATACCACGAATTATTTTGTTTATTATAAAATTCGTCGAGCTGAATCTAATATAATGACATAAACTTACGATCTTAGGTTTAGGTTAAGTTTGGTTAGGTTAGATTACGTTATAGGTTAGGTTAGAGTGAGTTTATTAAGGTTAGGCGTCTTGTTAGCGTGAGTCACATTATGGCGCTGACGATACTGTTATGAGTCAGCCTTGTGTGATGTATTCTAAAGGTTCATTTTGTAGTGGTTAATCGCCGTCTGTATAAATTAGAACTGTGTAGCGTTGCTGTAGTGTGTGTGTGTGTGTGAGCTACTTGATGACGTTTCACACACACACACCTGACACACACACACCTGTTATTCTGGAACATCTAAATATGGTTCCTTGTGTCTGTTTGTTTGTGTGAGTCCTGTGTGTAGCGATTTATTATATGGATACAAGAAATATCACCCCTCCTTCCCCCGTCTCTCTCTCTCTCTCTCTCTCTCTCTAATCTGTGTGTGTGTAAGGGAGTACCAGCCTGAAATATTACTCCTTGACATTTTAATTACGTCTCTTAGCTGTGTAATCAATCCTTTGAGAGTCAGCCAAGGGGCGACCTAAAAATATATATAGGACACAACGTACCTAAAACTTGTACTTATTTCTCTTTATATATTTGATTTTCATGTAAACTATATTGTGAGTATTGAATATAAGAACTGATTTGTTTATATTTCGTGTATGTTCGGGTTTCAACATTGATTCCCATTGTTTTTAAGTTATTTGTTTATTATTTCAGTTTAGGTTCGTTTTCTTCAAGAGTTAAAAAGGCCAATATGGACCTCAGTGTGTGGGAAGACCTGGAGAATGTATCGACGATGTTACTATAAATTCCAGTCATGCTACGTAAGGTCGCTGGAACCATTATATGTACGTACGTCATTGAGCCGTCATGGCGTCTGTGGTTAGCATTCTCCTGCATCTTTACCCTTCATTTTCGGTATTCGAACTGGCAAAAAAAATACACAGTCTCTTCCCCTTTGGCAGGTTGTAAGGCTGAGGGTATATAAGCGGGTTGGCGGGCACTTGACGCTACAATCCCGTCAGAGGTGAACTCGTCCGCACCTCCTCCTCCTCCTCCAGTCTCATCGTCGACATGAAAGCCGTAAGTCAATGTTCCTCTCACCAAAAACTTTTGCCCATGGAGACCGTAAATGTTATTCTTACCTACGATAGTTCTGAAGATCGCGAAATATTATCAAAACGTTTGAAGATCGGGAATTAATTTTACTTTAAACTTTTTGGACATGTCGAGCTTCAAAAGTTAGGTCAAATTTTTAAAGGAAGTGTATTATATATTTTGAAAAATCTAATTACTAATTCTCTTTATAAATTCTGTGGTAAACTTCACTCAGTGTTTCACAATTTCTAAAATCGCGAGTTGTTGTTGTTATTATTATTCAAAAATAAATTTTGATAATTGACAACAAATATAAATAATACTGAAAGTAAATACAAGTTGCCTTATCAATTATTTTACTACTGCTACTAGTAATAAACTAGATGTTAGGTGTGTATATTCATATAAATCAAACACGATATATACCCGAACTCCCAGGGTACTTGTCGGCCATTTTGGAAATTTCACGAAAGGAAAATGGCCGCCAGAATACCAATTTTTGAACTCAACCAAGCTCTTAGGTTAAACACTACTCCTGCTAAGTTTCAAGACAATCTGTACACAAGTTTATAAGTTATTACGTTTATGAGAAGTACATATTACAGACATTGCTATGAAGAGGCGCGCGTTTCCATACTCTCCCGGGAACCGAATGGAAGGTGGTACTGTGGAGATGATCCCACATAAATTGTTGCTACAAGTGTCAACAAATGCGTTTATTACACGAGGGATGTGTGTGGGTGTTAGGTGTGGGTGTTAGAGGTAGGTGCAGGTGTTAAGAGACATAGCAGCGACTTCAGAAGGGATTTAGAGGTTGTCTTGACAATTAATTATTATTAACCTCGTCTCACACCTTGTTTGGGTATAATCTCCAGGTAGTGTGTTTAGCACCATGACTTAACAGCTTCATTTTAGTACAAGAGTAGGTTATCGTGTTCAGAGATCTAAGGTATCGTACTCAAGATGTTAGTTAACTCATTGTACTCAAGGGGTGTGGATATTTGACTTCATGGACGAATTTATTGTACTCATGGTCGAGCGTGGTATTTATTATTAATGTTGTTGTGTGTGTGTGTGTGTGTGTGTGTGTGTGTACAGGCGATGAGTGACATTACATGAGAAATATTTTTACAATACACGACACAGCCTCGACTGATGTTTAAGAACGAACACTTTAAGACTACATGTTACTGGAACGCACTGACGACCCCACCCAACCTAACCTAACCAAGATGAATCTGAAATCGTATGAAGACTCTATCGTATATAAGGCCTTTAGTTACTCCCACTTGTGACTGGAGATAGTTTACGAATTTTTTCAGGATCCGGTTAATGGGAGAGTGGGAAGAGAGGGAGGAGGGAGTGGAAGGGAGAGGGAGGAGGGAGTGGAAGGGAGAGGGAGGAGGGAGTGGAAGGGAGAGGGAGGAGGGGAGTGGAAGGGAGAGGTGGAGAGGAGAGGGGTGGAAGGGAAAAGGTGGAAGGGAGAAGGGGTGGAGGGAGAGGGGGTGGAGGGAGAGGGGGTGGAAGGGAGAGGGGGTGGAAGGGAGAGGGGGTGGAAGGGAGAGAGGATGGGGAGGGTAGACAAAGTGTGGAGGCAATTTACACGTGCAGTATATAGACGAGTTTTTCGCCAAGTAAAAGAGTAAAGTATCGTCAACCGTCCCTCCTCCCTCTCCCCCTGCGTGTCGTCGTGGTGAGGACGGTCTCATTAATCTGTTCCTATTTTATTTTTTATTGATTTATATGACGCCCTCTGTCCACCGCTTCTCTCACACTCTGCTTAGCTGCACAGTCGAGACGAACAACATAAGAGAAACTGCACCTAGAGGTATAACACTCAGGGCGAGGTGTGTGTGTGTGTGTTGGTCATCTGCCACGGACATTCCCTCCCTACCATTACCCCTCCATTTATAAATCCTCCATTGTTACCCTCCACTCCACCTGCCCCTCCACCAGATTACCATCCCTCCACACTGGCGGGTCTCTACCTCTTCCTTCCTCACCCTCCTGATGTTGTACCTCTCCTTCTTCTACTCCTACAGGTTGTGGTACTCGCTTGCTGTGTGGTGTGTGTGATAGGCAGTCCCACCTTCCCCACCGCTGCCCCCACGCCCGTATCCATCATATTCGACGAGCGAGACCCTATTGACGCCCATGGAGGATATGGCTACAGGTGGGTCTCTCTCTCTCTCTCTCTCTCTCTCTCTCTCTCTCTCTCTCTCTCGTGTAAGCCTGGCGATCATTAGTCTGGCGTAGGTTGTACATAAATATCATCAGAAAGAAAACAAAAACAGTGAAGGCCAGGCATTATCGATTGCTCGTGATGGCAGTGTTGTCTCTGTGTGTTGTGAGTCGTCATATTGTTTCTCAGTCCAGGATATTTGAAGCATTGTAGATAATGAAAATGACAACTTAACCAGAGGCAAAACTAAATATTTTCTTTATCTCGTTTCCTTTCCATCAAGACCCATTTTCTTTAATATACTACAATTCCCATTTTCTTTCTTTCATTCAACACCATATTCTATCGTCTAGCCGTGGAATAAGACCGACTTTCATCCACTAATGCCTCACTTTCTCCCTCACCTGCAGGTTCCAGACTGGTAACGGCATCACCCAGTCAGAGAGCCACGGACCCACTGGTTTCCTGGGCAAGATGTCTACTAAAGGCGGCTACTCGTGAGTCCTCTCTGCCCTTCACCTCTTGTCTGAATCATCCCTCTCATATGTGGTCATCCCTCTCATGTGTGGTCATCCCTCTCAACCTAACCTCACCCAACCTAACCTAATGTTCTGGTGTTGTTGACAGGTTCACGCACCCTGACGGAACTCTCCACGAACTGAGCTACACGGCCGACGAGCGAGGCTTCCTTCCTTCATCTGACCTCCTTCCCACACCTCACCCTCTCACCCACTGGCAGAAAGAACAGGTCAGTATCACCACCGCACTTAACTCCCGCCTACAGGTCCCTCTCCTTCTACGGGTCCTCCTCCTCCCCCTCCTCCTTCTACAGGTCCTCCTCCTCCAGGTCCTTCTCTCCTTAAAAATTTCTCTACTGACTTGTATAATCATTCATGAATTACTCTTGTTATCACGTTTCATATCAGTGGTGATGTTGGCCTTATTGTCTTAATTATACGAATAAAGAAGTTGATATTGGTACTAGACTCGGTGTTTACTTACTGACTAAACTCCACCCACTTTTGGAGTCCTTAGCAACCATATAAATTTGTGGGCGTTGGTTGGTTGAGGGTGAGTCACTTGACAACCAATCAGTGTCCAGGAATTGTGATGATTAGAAAAAAAAAAAAAAGAAAAAGTGGTCAAGTCAGTAACTAACTTCGATATCGGCATGGATGTTGCCATAGTTACCGAGGTTGTTGCCATAGCTACCGAGGACGTTGCCATAGTTACGAGGTTGTTGCTATAGTTACGAGGTTGTTGCTATAGTTACGAGGTTGTTGCCATAGATACGAGGTTGTTGCCATAGTTACGAGATTGTTGCTATAGTTACGAGGTTGTTGCTATAGTTACGAGGTTGTTGCCATAGTTACGAGGTTGTTGTCATAGATACGAGGTTGTTGCCATAGTTACGAGGTTGTTGCCATAGATACGAGGTTGTTGCCATAGTTACGAGATTGTTGCTATAGTTACGAGGTTGTTGCCATAGTTACGAGGACATTGTCATAGTTACGAGGAGAGAAAAGGACAAGATGGATAAATAACTATTTTTTTTCCCTCAGGTTCGATTCGCTGAGCAACAAAGACGCTTGAAGGCCCTAGCTGACGCCCGGGCCGCTCTGGAAGCCCTGCTCTAACTCCTCCTGCGTGTCTTAGTGTGACCTGGAAGTAATTTTCTCTCCCTCTCTTTACCTCACCATCGTTTACTCGTTATCTATCTCTATTTCATCTATTCTGGTTCTCTTATTCTCTCTTTATCCTCATTTACCTATGAAACTCTCTCTCCTCTAGAAAATAATTTATATATTGTTCCACTTAAATCTTTCTCTTGTTATTCCTGTAATAATTCAGTTCCATTAATAAAACACTCGCTGGCATCCCCCTGTTTGACTCTCTCCGCCCTTATGTAAACAACTTATGTAAAAGACTTAGGTAAACAACTTAGGTAAACAAACCTCTATTAGACCTTAAGTAACTATTATAAGTATGATTCTAAGTAATTTAACCTCTCCTAATTTAAGTAATATTTAGGTGTTATAAGATGAATGATGTTTGACATTAATAATAACAATAATAATAACAATAACAATAATAACAACAATAACAATAACAATAATAACAACAATAACAATAACAATAATAATAAAATCTTTATATCAATTTCGCAACTCGTTTGTTTTTTCACGGTTCATTCAAAATATCATCACTTAAATGTACGTTATTCTTATAGATTCCTTAATAGATAAATAATAAATAAATAATAAATAAATAATAAATAAATACCCCAGAAGAGATTAGAACGCTTACAAGTTACAACTGCCTTGGTTATACTACAGAAGACTGGGGGATGATCTAAAAACTCGTAAGTACCTCAGTCAAATGTATTTATCTGGAGTTAACTGATGGCTGTTACAATAGAGATCACAAACCTAAGATAAAGAAGCTATCAGTTCAGAAAACTGTCAAGAGTTAACTTTGTTGGAATAAGAGTTGAGTGATCTTCCTTAATTCTAGACCTGACTAACACGTACATTCAAGAGCCAGTACATGTCCAGTACTTACCAAGAATATGTACCAGAGTAATGACCGACCGTCCAACAGGCCAGTAAGCTGAAAAGTGGCGTCTGGCGAGGAGGCACAACAAAGCTTCGACAGATAAGTTTTCACGGGTAACTCCTGTAAACTAACCGTGTGATGAACGCTTTCCTCTCCTTACAAAATAAACAAGAGCTTCATATAAAGTAATTAGAACCCTTATGAAGATACTAATCACAAGTTTTGTCCATATTAAATCATTTATAACAAATAAGTGCTCCGTTTCTCATAAAGTTCTGAAGATAGATGTAGTCTACTGTTTTCTGTTTCTCAGACAACACAGAGAATGGATAGCACTGTAGTTGAAAGGGGATACTTTACTATTTGTGGGATCGTCTGGTATCGTTCAACAAAATAGATAGCGAGATAGATACTTATACAGTAAACACGTTATAAAAGTTTATACTAATATGACATATACATATAAGGTATAGTAATACAAGCAGAAGTAAAAGTAACTCGATATGACCAAGGATAGCCGCCCCCCCCAAAAAAAAAAAAACATTAAAAGCTTATCTCTATTGGAGTCCTTAATGACTATTCACATAATGATGAATATACAAATAAATGAACCCATCTGACTACAAAGTGAGCAGTAACATATTGCAGTTAGGCTTATCGACACTAGTGGACCTTTTATCTCAATACAACATTCATAGATTGGCAAGACAAAAAAAAATTCTTCTTTTGTAATAAAATTAATAGATATTTAGTTAATTTGAACAAGGACAGCTAGGAGACTTGTTTCCAATAGTCCTTATGCCAGCAGCATCTGGTATTCTCAGGGCCAGGCTGTCACCCATCCAGTGCTTAATCTTATCTTGAGTTGTTTGATGGTGTTACTGGATTATTATAATCGAGTTATTTTCTTATTACTGTAGACGAGAAAACGTATATTCCTTGACCGCTAAGCTACAACACTGTGTCCCGCCTCGGGGGCCTGGCTGTCTCTCAACCTTAATAAAGTTGGGGACAGGATATACTGGTCTTGTTGAGAGTTTTCAAAGTATGATTTAAGTGTCAAATTTTCAATTGACTCAGATGGAACTGTGATTCCAGAGGAAGAGTAAAGACCCAGGGACTGAGAGATGGTGTGTTAGGGGAGTAAGTTAAAAATGAGATATCGTTAATAAAGCTGAGGGAGCAGTTGATACGGTGGTTATGTTTACAACGAAATGAAGTTCTCGGATCAGTGTGAGAAGATAACAAATCATGCAAATAAACTAGTAGGAACTTATACGAAGGTTCTTAAACATACCTAGATGGTCCGTCCTTCATAACGCTCTCCGTAAGTGCTGTACTGTTATTCTCTCCGGTCCTCGCGAGATGTGTGAGGTATTGCATCAAACTGGTGTCTGCACTCCAGCGCCTCGGGTACCTAAAAAGATAAGAACGCCTTCAGTTGCCTATTTCATGAGCAAAGGAGTGATGTTATAGAAGCCAAACCAACTAGAAGTCACAGCGTCGTTAAGAAGCCACCACAAGTACAGATAACCGCCAGGCCAGCTTTTTTGGAGTACGAGTTGTGAACACTTGGAATAACCAGCGACTGTTGTGACGGAATCGAGTGTGACCATACCTGCGACCTATCTAATTAACCAACACTGACATATGTTCAGGTATGCTCAGTGGTTAACAGAGAAATGACTGACCACCCAACCAGTAACAGAGATGACAGTCAGATAGTAAGGTGAGATACATTAAAACTGGTTCGTGAAATGGTTTTTTTCCTTACTTCCCTCTGCAGGTTTGAAATCTGTCTCACGCTACGTTTCACTGCACATGCGCATTCTGACCAACTCTGCCCCGTGCATAGGAAGGTCGATTGTCGTGGCAAATACTCACTTCTGAATACATATTGCTGTCTTGTTGGTGTTGTTGTCACAGTGTTGTGCTCAGAAGGATAAGATTTATAACTTTATGGGAAACATGAGAAAAATATATCTTATTTTTTAATGTTGTTTCGTGCTGACTTGACTGAGTGAACGATACTTAAAGACTCTGCCGTGTGTAACAATAAAATATACAATACCGACACGATTTTTTTATATAATTGTATAAGAAACATCCCTCTAGGTGTGCCCATGGTCAAAATGTACTTAGACCATGGGTGCGCCTTTAGATCATGGGCACGCCTTTAGATCATGGGTGCACCTTTAGATCATGGGCACGCCTTTAGACCATGGGGGCGCGCCTTTAGACCATGGGGGCACCTTTAGATCATGGACACGCCTTTCGACCATGGGGGCACATTTAGACCATGGGGCGCGCCTTTAGACCACGGGGGCGCCTTTAGACCATGGGGGCACCTTTAAACCATGGGGGCACCTTTAGACCATGGGGGCACCTTTAGACCACGGGGGCACCTTTAGACCACGGGGGCGCCTTTAGGCCATGGGGGCGCCTTTAGACCCGTACCTAACCCTGACAGTGAGGAGAGGTGGAGATTGTTGCCGATGGGTAGTAAACGGCGGGCATTGTGTCCCCTTGTTTATTCTTGCTGACACACTTCTTCGTGACGTTAAGGAGACGAGAACAATATACCTTTCTCTCTCTCTCTCTCTCTCTCTCTGATCTTACCGCTCTCTCGCTCTCTCTCTTTAACTTTATAAATATCGAAGGGTATTTGCCTATATCTCCCCTGTGGTATAATTACTGCCTGTAACAAATCACTGTAACTGTAACTAGCTTGCAGTGCCATCCTGTAACAAATCACTGTAACTAACTAGCTTGCAGTGTCATCTTATACTGTCATGATTCATCACCCTTTCACTGCAGAATTTTAAGGATATTATTTATTTGGAAATTTTGCCAGAGTAGTTATTTTTTCTAGTACTAGGTGTTCTAATTATGACTATTAATAACTTGTATAATTTCAGACGCAGGTAACATAATTAGACGTCAGTGGCGGATTCAGCACTAAACTAAACACAAGAAGGTAAGAAAGGGCAGAACGGTAACAGCATTTCGTCTATTTACTCACCCATAGGTCGTCCTTCTGCTGTCTCCTGCGGCCACGAGACGAGGGCGACTTTCTCTCTCTCTACCATGGGAGTTCATCATCCAGGGAGGAACATCTGCTGAACATCACGGAATAATAATAAAAAAAAAAAAAAAAAAAATTATATATATATATATATATATATATATATATATATATATATATATATATATATATATATATATATATATATATATATATATATATATATATATATATATATATATATATATATATATATATATATACTATGAGAGAGAGAGTTGGATCTTTCTCACTAAACATTCACTTGAACCTTTAACTAGAGTGGCCAGCGTTTACGTAAACAGTATTAAATGTCAAATGTGTGTGTGTGTGTCGTACCTTCACTTCTGGTTACCTTAAGGGCGTCGCACCTGGTAAACTGGAGCAATTCCTAACCACTTCCTCTCCCATGCAGGAACAAGTTACTCAGGGAAAGGTCTGTGTGCGTGTGTGTGCGTGTGTGTGTGCGCGCGCGTGCGCCATCCTCCCTAAGAGTCGCGGGCGTCACTAGAGAAGGTCATGTGACGGGCGTGTCGAGGATCTGGAGCAGGAGGTACTCGCAGGTCATTGTCTTTCTCCTCCTCTACAGCCTCCTACAAGAAGCTCCTCTCTTCTACTCACCAGTACGTGCTTCTGACCGCTCCTGCTGCTTTTACTGCTACTTGGTTAGGGTGCTGCTATTGTTACTGCTACTTCTTGGTCATACTGTTACTACTAAGTGGTGGTGGTGTTAATGCTTAGTCATGCTACTGCTACTACTATTATAATTAGTATTGTTAGTATAGCTTTTTAATATGGCCTCCAGCCTCCCCCAATAGCCACACCTTCGCCGCCGTTTTATTACCTTAATATTAAATATCATAATACATAAGTAGCTATCCTAGCTGTGTTGAGTTAGTTGAGCCGCAGATCTATGCGGCATTCAGTGACTGTTGCCTCATAGTTAATATCTGCAACTGTTGTCGGCTCTCGTTCCCCTGAGGCAGAGCAAAGCCGACCGAAGGAGAGAGAAGGACAGTCGACATCTCATCCAGGCTGTAACTTCTGGGCTGCTGCTTCTGTTCGGAGATCACCTCCGCGAGTCTGGCGTAGAAGCATCTTGCACTTGGTCCCATCCCACCAGAGGTTGTGAACACTAGAGGAGTGAAGCTGCCTTGATCAACGTTCTGAATTCTCTCCCCATATACCCTTATCTTGTTCTCGTTCCTCCTGTGTGCAGCATCGAGAGCTAAGTTACGGTGACATGCTTGGTACTGCTACTTCTACTACAACTGCTAATTGATGATACTACTTCTACTACTACTACTGCTACTACTACTATTAATACTACTATTACTTGTGTTACTGCTGCTACTACTACTGCTACTACTTGTGCCCTGTTGCTATACCACCACCATCACTAACCATCACCACATCCACTTCCGACTACCATCACCATCACCACCATCACCTCACACCCTCATCACAACACTTCAATGCAACTCTTATTATTACTATTTAAATTTAGTAAGTGTTCGAGTTAATTTTAATTTATATTTAGTGTATGTCCTCCATAACCTGAACCTGTTTAGCGTTAATGGTGACTGTCTTGTGGGCGATGTGTGCCTCTTATACACACACACACACACACACACACACACACACACGCACAGAGAGGAAAAGAGGAGGGAATTTTTCGACTTTTCTGAAAGCCTGTACACAGCATTACCTACTACAACTTTTTCAGCAATAGAATTTCTGCTTAGGGTTTTGAAACTCGCTTATTAGGTCAAACAAATTCTCATAATACCACAGGGTCTTACATAAACCTACCTTCTCTTTCGCAGTATTAATCCCGGTTCATAATACGCATCCAAACACACCACTTGACCACACACACACACACACTAGGTCGACAGGCGGGAGTTATTATAAACCTGATCAGTGATAACGTTTAGTCACTATTGATTCTTACGTTATAGAGGTCATCAGTTTAACCCCATGGACGTTTTTTTTATTACCCTTTGAGGTGGATATTTTAACCTTTTAAGGACGATGGTTTAACCTTTTGAGGACGATGACTTAACCCTTTGATAGGACAACACTTTAACCCTATGAGAACGATGGTGTATTCCCTGAAGTCGATGATTTAACTCTTTCAAGACAATGATTTAGAATTACAGACAGTCATACAGTTCACCCATTGAGGGGAACTCGTGTCTACTCATGACAATCGAAGTATTCAGACAAAATTATAATAAAGAACAACTGCATGAATACAATACACTGTGAAGTCAATAATGAATCTCTCTGTAACCAAGACAAAATATTTCAGACTACGAGCGTTGATATATGAAACGTGGCAACTGGCGAGAGGTCATCTTGGAACATTTCGGAATGAGATTAGGCTTGCCAGGTTAGTGTAAATTTACGTCGGATAAGCAGTGGGCAGGAGGAGGACTTGGACAGGATTCCACGAGATAAGAAAAAGACCCAACGATGAACTTTAGATGGAGAGATGAAGTAAAGGAGGTGAGGAACAAGTAGATAGGTGTTGGGTAAGTGTGTGTGGGAGGGTAAGTGTGTGTGGGAGGGTAAGTGTGTGTGGGAGGGTAAGTGTGTGGGGAGGTGTAGGAGGTGTGTGTGGGAGGGGGTAAGTGTGTGTGTGGGAGGTAGGGTGTGTGTGTGGGAGGGTAGAGATGTGTGTGTGGGAGGAGGGTAGTGTGTGTGTGGGGAGGGTGGGGTGTGTGTGTGGGAGGGTGGGTGTGTGTGTGTGGGGAGGAGTAAGTGTGTGTGTGTGGAGGGTGGTGTGTGTGTGTGGGAGGAATTAGTGTGTGTGTGTGTGGGAGGGTAAGTGTGTGTGTGTGTAGGGAGTGTGTGTGATGTGTGGGAGGGTAGGGTAAAGTGTGTGGGGGAGTGTGTGTGTGTGTGTGTGTGGGAGGAGTAAGTGTGTGTGGGGGGGATGGTAGTGTGTGTGGGGAGTGAGTGGTGGAGGGTATGATGAGGGTGTGTGTGTGGGATGAGATGTAGGTGTGTGTGTGGGAGGTAGTATGTGTGTGGGAGGTGTGTGTGGGCGGGTATGTGTGTGTGGGAGGGGTGTGTGTGTGGGGGGTAGGTGTGTGTGGGAGGAGTAGGTGTGTGTGGGAGTAAGTGTGTGTGTGGGGTGGGAGGGTAAGTGTGTGGGAGGGTAAGTGGTGTGTGTGGTGTGTGTGGAGGGGTGTGTGTGTGGGAGGGTGGTGTGTGGGAGGAGGTAAGGTGTGTGTGGGGAGGAGTAAGTGTGTGTGGGGAGGGTGGGGTGTGGGGAGATGGGGTGTGTGGGAGGGTGGGGTGTGTGGGGAGGGGGTAAGTGTGTGTGGTGGGAGGTAAGTGTGTGTGGGAGGGTGGGGTGTGGGGAGGGGTGTGTGTGGGGAGTAGGGGAGTGTGTGTGGGAGGGTAAGTGTGTGGGGGTGTTGGGAGGGTGTGGGTGGTGTGGGGAGGAGTGTGTGGAGGGTGTGTGAGCATGTGTGTGTGGGAGGGTAGGGAGGTGTGTGTGGGAGGTGTAAGTGTGTGTGTGGGAGGGGTGGGTGTGGGAGGGGGTGTGTGGAGGGTAGGTGTGTGTGTGGGGAGGGTGGGAGTGTGTGTGGGGAGGGGTAAGTGTGTGTGGGAGGGTAAGTGTGTGTGTGAGGGTGTGTGGGTGTGTGTGGGAGGGAGTAAGTGTGTGTGGGGAGTGTGTGTGGGAGGGTGTGTGTTGTGTGTGTGTGTAGCAGTAAATGTCACAAAGGTCTCGTGGGTGTGAGGTTTGTAGCAGAGGCGTGGCGTGTGGTAGTGAGAGTGACTGACTATACCGGTGATAATAAGGCAATATTTAGTGGTCCAAGATGGTGTTAGGTACAGTTCGTTCCCTCCCTCTCGTCCTCACTCCCGCCCTCTCCCTCCCCCTCATTCCCTCCCTCTCTTCCTCATTCCCTCTTTACCTCCCTCTCCCTCGTTCCCTCTCTTTTTACCTCCCTCTCTCCTTAACCTAAACTGCCCTAACCGATCGTAACCGAACACTAATCTACACCATCTAACCTAATACTAATCTAATCTAACGGAAATGAACCTAATCTAACACTAATCACTCCTAACCTATCTTAACCTAACCTCCCAAGGTAGCATTAGGGTGGTTAACCTTTAGTTGAAATAAGCTGTGGTGTCTAATCATAAGGTGATTCACTTCAAGACAATTGCGTCACTTGAGGCTCAGCCGTGTCAATAATGTTGGTGGTCTCACTTTCTCAAGCAGCTAAGGAAGAAGACCAGGCAGGGGAAGCATAAGTGAGTTTACGAAGTATGTATGTTTTTGTAAACATTCATGAGCTCAGACGAGGAACACTAAAAGACTTGAGACGACGGAGGATGTAGAGAGGATAGGTATAGGTTGTATCATCTATAGTTACGCAGAGAAGCTTGGTGGAAGCCACAACCTGGAGTATGTTGGGGCCCAGTGTGAGGGGGGGGGGTCATGATTGGAGGAGAGGCTAATGCACATAACCATGGTCTTGGTATGGTTGATGGTGACATGGATGACGGTGAACCATTCTTAGAGACTTCAGTGTGTCCTGAAGGGCGCTGTAGTCGGATGCCGAGTGACACCTATGCCAGTGGTGGAGTCAAGTACATTTTCCCAACGAGCGGGAGTATCTTTCAAGGCTTCGTTGATGGGGGGTGAGGAAACAGAGCGGTCTCACCCTAGTGACTTGGGGGACGCCGCAGGTATGTGACTGAAAGGTGGAGACAGATCCTCGGAGGCGTACAGCTTAGCGCCGAGACTTCTTCAAAACCCAAGGTCGATGATGTTGTTGATAACTGTGACTGAGGTGAACGTTTTGGTGAAGGTGAGAGTTCTTGAGGTCTAACGTACACCTCTAAGTTGCTGAAAGAGCAGTGAGTGATGTGTGTGTGTGTGTGTGTGTGTGTGTGTGTGGCTGCTCCCGTACACCAAGTACTGGACTTACATATTCTTACATACAGTATAATACCTATTTATTTTGTCCTAATTAACTACGTAGATCTATCTCTTGTTCTTTTAAGTGTAAATAACTAGTGTA